GCTGCTTGAAGCAACTTGGCGGGGGCCGCTCACCATGTGACCAAAGGTCAGGCCATCAAACGTATGGGCATCTTCACCCACAGTGCAGGTGAGTGTGCGTTAACAGGGGAATGTGCAGAAAGAACTCTGAACAACAGAAAGTGCAAAACCAAAGGCTCTGGAGATGAACTCTGCTCTCCTCTTACCCACAGAGCTGCAGCAGCTGTGCCCACCTCCTGGGCTGTGGATGAGCCACGATCTGCCCTCATTCACAGGTCTCCTGCCCATGCATCAAACCAAAAGGCAGTCACGGGTTTAACATGTTGGCTCTCCACACACCACAAAGCAGCAGCTTTTCTGACGCTGCTGAACAGAGAGTATTTTAATCGACAAGGATGCAAACTAATGACATGACCCTGACTTTATAAAAGAGCCCAAGATGATGAGACCTGAGCTGACTCCTAACTCAGTTCAGTTGCATGTCAGTGTTAATTCAGTTCAATGTATATCTCCTTCATTATTCCCTATAAACAAGAAGCTCAATGTTCCTTTCCCCACAAAACTGCCACAATTGGTTCTGGAATAAACGAAGCCTAAGAGAACCAGATAAACACTGTCCCTGAACAGAGCTGGTCAGAACCGGTGACTCAGTGGCGGCAAAGCAGAGTGGGTTTGCACAGAGGTGCTGTCCAGGGATCAGCAAGGTGGGTTTTACCTACAACTGAGGCTTGAGTTGGAAAATCTCCCCGATTCTCTGAGCTCATGGGTAAAATGAGCTGGGGTCAAGTTCGAATGAGAGAAAAGGATACAGAAGCGCCTTCTCAGCTTACAGAAGTCTGTATATCTTCCGTACACATGCACCTTTTTAGAGGTCTACAGCTGCATTTCCTCGGTGTCTGGGCAGGAGTGGCGGGAAGAATGTCACTGGTGAGCAGAGCGCCCGGGGGCCCAGGCCTCACCTGACAGCACTCCCCGGTCCTCAGCGTCGCTGTCACTGTCAACAATGTCGTTATGCTTTTCGATATCCGCCAGAGACTGGCCGTAATGAGTTAATTCTTCATCTTCATTTAGGTTGTAGATGTTTTTTTTTTCATGTTGTCGCTACAGGATAGAAAAAAAGTGCATCTCCTAAAACTTCCACATCCATTTAAAGTTAAAAAAAGTTACTTTTTCCATTTTTGTGCAGCGTCTCAATGTAGCTTTAAGATGATTCTGATATAAACAGAACTTACAGAAGGTAAATAAAACAACTGGCCAGTCTAAGGCGCTTGGAAATCGCACTAGGACCTTGCTGCCACCCTCGGACCCACTCCAGGAGGCATCACTGCTGTGCGCTCTGGCTGAGGCATCTCTCTGCCCAGCTGGTGTGTGTAGAAGGCTGCTTCCCCTTGGGCCTAGCCAGGAGAGTCACACCATTCATGCTTCCCCGCTGTCACCCACAGAAGCATAACTGAACGAGGGGGACTGGCCTCTTCCTCCTGACTTCTGGGTAAGGAGACAGCAGGGCACCCTCCCCCATCTCCCCTACCTGCTGCTCCAGAGCAAACCTCTTCATCATCTTCTCCTCTGGGCTGATACTGCTGTCGTACTCCCCAAAGCGCTTATCTCGGAACACGCTGGACTTATCCCTTTCCTTGTACTCCTTCAGCAGAGTCTGGGTGCGCTGAAAAGCAGATCACAGAACTGTCTCTCACTGGTCCTGGCGACTCTGAGCTCTGATGGCTTGGCAATCTTGGCCCCAGAGGGCAGCCACCTCCACAAGCGGACACACCGACGGTTCTGATGAACTGAAGACGCCATTTTTTATGCCTCAGGCCACTGACAGTCCAAGAAAGGCCAATCTATTGGCTGCAAAAACTGATCTCAATTACTGAGGGGAAACTGCCAGACAACGGAGTCAAAGAGGAGATCAGGAACCCAGGGGATTCTCTAGGGAGTGTTGGTACCTTGTGCTTAACACCAAAGGTTACAGCAAAACAACAGCAACCAGAAAAGAGCAGAACAATCGAGTGCTCAGAGGTCACTCTGCCAGGAGAAGCAGCCAGATGAGCTGAGGTTGCAGCTGAGAGAAAAAGAAACCGGGGAACCAGGCGCTGAGAGGCTGTTTATGTCAACAACGACACCACCATCAACTGCAGACTGCAGCAGCACTGCCTGTCCTGGGCTGGTTATGTTCACATATGTGCCAGTATCCGTATATACGGTCAGTCTTTGTTATTTGTGGATTTCATATTTGTGTATGTCTATTGCTAAAATTTGTGTGTGTGTGCTAAGTTGCTTCAGTCACATCTGACTCTTTGAGACCCCACGAAGTGTAGCCCGCTAGGCTCCTCTGTCCATGGGATTCTTCAGACAAGAACACTGGAGTGGGTTGCCATTTCCTCCTCCATGGGAAGGAAGATCCTGGACTAAACCCACGTCTGCTGCACTGCAAACAGATTTGTTACCGCTGAGCTCCCAAACCAAAACTCGCAATGCTTTCTGGGTCATTTGTGGACACCCACATGTTGCCCAGGAGGTGGAGACAAGAGTGAGGACTTGGAATCCCACCGTGGCACCGCCTCCCAGTGCAGACTCTGGGAGGTGCCTGCGGCCTCATCTGAAAAGGAGACAACGGCAGTTCCTACCTCAGCCTCCTAAGGAGAAAAGAGGAGACCAGGCTTAAGTGGGGAAGACACATCTGTCTGTTCTGGAGCTCATGCTGCCCCCCACCCTGCCCCAGCCTGCCCTGAGGTGTGTGACGGGGGCATGTTGGAGTCAGCTGTAAGACTGTCTTGTCTACTACAGCTGCCAGTTCCTTCAGGTAAGGTTGATGTTTGATTCCATTCAAAGATCAGTCGGATCAGTCGGATCGCACACTGTGGGTCAGCACAGTTTATGAGCCCATGAAGACAGGGTCAGGGGTTACTCCGCCTTTACCCCTTCACCTGCCAGAACAGAGCCGAGACAAGAGTGCTCAGTGGCACGTAAAGGTTTCCCAGGTGTTCAAACGCAGTGCACACCCTGGCCCCTGCCAGACGCCTGACTGTACAAAATATACTTGTCCTTTCTCTGCCTGAATGTTTTCACTAACCTACTGATGTCCCCTCCTCAGAATGACAATAAATAGTTAAAACCACCCAATGAGCGTGTCTCAGAAGCTACATAGAGAAGAGCAGCAGAATGGAATCTGAGAGTACAGAACAGTCCGGGACCGTTAAGCACAAGAAGAGGGATGGCTGTGAGGTTTTCCAAAAAGGTTAGCACTTCAGTTACCTTGCAAAGGACCAAGTCATGTGCTTCAAAAGTGAAGTCGCTCAGTCGTGCTACTCTTTGCGACCCCACGGACTGTAGCCTACCAGGCTCCTCGGTCCATGGGATTGTCCAGGCAAAAGTGCAGGAGTGGGTTGCCATTTCCTTCTCCAGAGGATCTTCCCGACGCAGGGAAGGCACCCGGGTCTCCCGCATTGCAGGCAGATTATTTTACGGTCTGAGCCCACCTGGGAAGTCCTATGTGCTTCCTTCACCAAACATCTACTGAGCAGCCTGTGTAATCCCTTATCCACGGCAGAAAAAGATCCAGGGTTCCTAAACCAGCAGAGCTCTGTCTCAAGGAAGGCGGTTAAGAGGTCCCCACGGTTGACCAGGGCGGCACAGAAGTGATTGACTATGCCAGAGGGGGCTGGACCTGTGCGCTGGTGCTCCAAGGAGCGACATCGGTTCTGCAGGGCGATGTCCTCCCATCTCACGCAGAAGCAGAGGCAAGAGGATGCACACAGTCCAGCCGACACATGACACACTCACATACACGGCGTCTCACGGCGCCAGGCGCCGTCCTGAGGACTCTCTCAGGGGACGCGTCCCACCCTTCCAGCCGTCCCCACCCCCCAGGAGGTAGGTACCATTGGCACATCCTATGGACAGAAGGGGAACCAGGACCTTCGCCCGGGCGCTGCCGCTGTGGGTGGGGAGGGCAGGGCCGCGCGGCTGGTCCGGGCCGGCAGGCAGGGCAGGGGACCCCTCGGAGGACCTCCCCCCTTCCCCCGCAGAGGGCCCGGCTCCCCGCTGACCTTCTGGAGGGCCCGCGCGCGCGACACCCCGGGCAGACCCACTTCGTGGCGCGTCTTCCTGCCCAGAACCTGGAACTTCTGCCGGTTTACTTTCACCTCGAATGGGTTGGGGTTCGGCCTCGCCCGGCCGCCCCACGGGCCCGCCGGGGCCGCAGAGGCCTTCCCGCGCGCGGCAGACCTGGTTTTCCCCATGGCTACACACGCCGCACCTCAGGGTGCGGACTAGGAGGCGGCGGCGGGGCGGTTCCGGTTTCCTCAGTAGACACGTGCGGCCTCGCAACCGGAGACAGCCGCCCGCATCTCGCGATAATTGAGCCAGCGAGAAGGAGGAACGTCGGGTAAAATACTGCCACGCCCCCGCTCAGCCTTCTCGCCGGCTAGCCGAGCGCCTAAAACTCCCAGCAGGCCGCGCTAGCGCCCAGCCGCCTCCGCCCCGCGCGGGGCCTTCTGGGAGCGGTCGTGGCCCGCGAGGCGCCGCCCCCGCCTCAGGGCGCTCTGGCTCCCTCGTCTGGAGAGCCGTTGGCGGGAAGCCGGCCGCTGTGCAAGTAGGTGGCGGCGGCGGCGGCGGCGGCACTAGCCGTCGCCGCCGGGGGCAGTGCCCCGGCCAGTGAGCCGCTCCCAGGGCGATGGGGCCGGCAGCCTGGGCCACGGCGCGGCGGCGGTGACCGCGGGGAACCGGCCCTCCCGCTCCGCGGCCGCAGCCCCCGGCCCCGGAGGCGAGGCTGCCGGGCGCCCTCAGCGTACGAAGCAGCGGCGGCGTAGAAAGCGGGCCCAGAGGCGGCGGCGACAGTGGTGGCCGTGGTCGGGGCCGCGGCAGAAGCAGAAGCAGCAGCGGCAGGTGCAGGAGCGGCGGCCCAGCGCGGGACCCGACGCGGAGTCGGGCGAGCGATGCTTAGAGGCCGCCCCGCGGTCGGCCCCCGCCTTGTCCCCGCTTTCTCCCGCCCAGAGAGCCAGACGACGGCAGCGGCGGCGGCGGCGAAGACGACGACGGTCGTCTATGGAGCTCGAGAACTTATTGGCCAACACGAGGCTGCTGAGAGCGCGCCAAGGTGGGTGCACAGCGGCGCCCCGACCCCGCCCGGGTCCTGAGCCCGTGCAGCCCCAGCCCTGCCGGGAACACCAACCCTGCCGCGCGGCCCGCGGATCTCCTGGGGAATCGGGACCCCCGGGCCCGCGCAGCGTCCCTCTCTGGACTGCGCGGTCGGCGAATGGTCAGCCTGGGCACCTGACGCCTAAGCTGCTCCTTCGCCTTTTGGCGTCGCCTCAGGACCCGCGTGAAGGAAGCCCGCGCGCTGTTCCAGTCCGCCTGCTCTTGATCCCCTGTCCTGCCCTCCTTCCGGAACCTCGGGACGCAGTGTGGCTTCAGCATCGTGCAAGCAATGTGACCTGTCCCCAAGAGAGGAGGCCAGACCAGCCAGTAAAGCCGGTGGCAAAGAACCGTGCCTTTGTGGTCTTCAAAGGGCCACCGAAGAGAACCCTGTGAACCACCCTGGGAGACCCTTCCCTTAAGTGTGTATTGTTGTTTAGTCGCTCAGTTGTGTCCGATTCTTTTGCGACCCGGTGGACTGTAGCCCGCCAGGCTCCTCTGTCCATGAGATTTCCCAAGCAAGAATACTGGAACAGGGGACTGTTACCCTAACATCTCTAATTGGGTTTGAGGTTTGATGGTGTCCAGACCTGTTACGTAGAGTGGGTTTTAGCCCGGCTTAGGGAGAGATTGAACACATTAGGAAGAATTAATGCTGGTCGACATGTAGAAGCAGCAGCTGGGCCAGCCCGTCTGCTTGCTGACCCCGGGAGTATAGCTCTCTGTGGAGGTGTCCCCTCTGCCGCTCCTGGAGAGACGGGAGAGCTGGTGGCGGAGCCCACCCATAGTTCTTCAGCCCCTTCGCTCCTAGGGATTTGGTGTGGGGTCAGCCGCTTCTTCTTTGTGCTGCCAACAGAGTAAGTGCCCACCCAAGGATGTGTATTTAATACAATCTGGAAGAAGTATTTTGTGCTCCATCTCCCAGGGCTTCTGAGTTCCAGTCCTGGGTGCACATGTTGGCTAAGTGAAATTCTTGGTGACCTGTGATGCTACTACGGAGAAGGCAATGGCACCCCACTCCAGTACTCTTGCCTGGAAAATCCCATGGACGGAGGAGCCTGGTGGGCTGCAGTCCATGGGGTCGCTAAGCGACACGACTGAGCGTCTTCACTTTCACTTTTCCCTTTCATACATTGAAGAAGGAAATGGCAACCCACTCCAGTGTTCTTGCCCGGAGAGTCCCAGGGACAGGGGAGCCTGGTGGGCTGCCGTCTATGGGGTCGTAGAGTTGGACACGACTGAAGCGACTTAGCAGCAGCAGCAGCAGCAGTGATGCTGCTGAGAAGCATCAGTCAGTTCATCTTGTGATTTGAATAGTGTTTAACATTGTGTAAGAGAAATTAAGCTGGAATATCAGACTTGGGGCGTTCTCTTTTTAAGCTACCTCCTTCCCATTTGTATCCTCAGCCTTTCAAGAGGAAAGATCTTGATTAAAATGTACATGGTTTTTCAACACCTTGGAGACTGCATCAGAAACACTGCAGGAAATTCTTGAAGTCACAGTGAGTGATGCAGAGAATTAGCCACTGAAGTTAGGGGTTACATGGAGGGGTTCTGAGTTCAGACGTAGTGAACTTTTATTATGTAAAGTGTTTGCTGTATTAGGAGTTGAAAATCAAGACCTCAGTATTTTTGTCTGCTCACTTGAATCCCTCTGAGTAGAAGAACTGAGGATAGGTAGGAAGAAGCCAGGTCTTACTTTGCCGTTCAGGCCACGGGGAGTCCTCAGAGTAAGATGGGGCATTGATTGTCGTCTGGCGCCCCTCACTCTGAACTCACACTGATCGTAGAAGTGGGTCATCCTCCGTGGAAATCAGGTCTGACTGAGGCTAAACCTGTTTTCTTTCTGCTCTGCTTTTATATCTGATATAATGTATGAATAGAGAATATTGTACCACACAGACTCCCTTATAGTTCTGTAGAGCTTAGGTGAGGAGGCACCTGTAAGTATTCTATAAATGCTAAATAACATAAAGCTACTATTTCCTGCCGTAAAGCCTAGGACCACATTGATAATTGCTTAAGGAAGTTTTACATTTTGTTCCCTAAACTGTCAACTTGTGGTTTTATAACTCTTTCAAGGTCTGCCCCCAGTCAGCAGGGAGTATTTACTCCTGTGTTAAAGGAGTCATTCTGTCAGTGTGGTTAATGCTTAGAGAAGTTGAACAGGAAATGTCAGAAAGATGTGAATATTAAGTGCTGCATGTTGGTTATGATTTAGGGTTGTTTGCCCAAATTGTAAACTGTTTATTTGCTTTAGGAGCTTGTAGAGTATTTCTCAGAAAGTACCTTCTTGGACACATGTCTGTTCATGGTTACCCCGCTTTGTATTAGGAAATTAACTTTTGAAATGAGTCGGCAGAGCCCGCAGTCGTATTTTGGCCCTGGGAACTGCAGTGTTGTCAGTCCAGTCATTTCTTAGATTTATCTCAAGTAAAATCAATCTCTTCTTCTTTTGGCCTCAGGTTTGTTCAAACCTTTTCTCCTTTTTCAGGAGTGTCAGCAAATGATGTCTCATTGAAAAAAATTGTGTGTATGTCACTATGCCAGGCACACTTTAAGGAAGTATGAAATGATCATATTATTCATAAAGTAAAACACAAAAGTCACCACTTCTTTTGAAGCTCAGCATTTTTTCCCCCGTGCAGTACATTTGTGAAGCAACTTATGACCTTTAATTGTTTTGAATGAGAAGCTGAAATAGTTTTGCATCATGCTTTTAGACTTACTCCATTTTGTCTCTTGCAGAAATTAACCTCATAAACACGCAGGGAGGAGGATATGATATGTACATTAAACATGGATTTTGGTCTTGTGTACGGGAGTTGGTGATGGAAAGGGAGGCCTGGAGTGCTGCAGTCCATGGGGTCGCAAAGAGTCGGACATGACTGAGGAGCGACTGAACTCAACTGAACTGATAGCAATTCTATTGAGGTTTCAGGTTGTAGTTTTACTATCTAAAGGTTTGTTTAGCACCTGACATATAGTTGATATACCTTTTATCATTAATGCTATCTCTTGCTGAAGCTTACTCACAGGGTTTTTGTTTGCAAGGAGTTTCTATAAGTAGCTTATATACCTTTCAATTCCAGAAATTGGTTTGGACATGCTCTTGTATGCTTACTATTCAAATTTTCTGTTCAGTAGGCCCTTCTTATTTTCTTGTTTGGTTCTTTCCACCTTTCGGGGTCCACTTTAGCTTCATTCTCCTTGTCCGTGTCTCTGATCTTCCAACTCAGAGGCACTCTGCCCTCTGGGAATCTAGAACTTGGAGTTCACAGCACGGGGTAGCCAGTGATTCTCGGCTAAATTGTCATCTGTTGTAAGGACAGGACGGAACTCTTATTGTTTATCCCTTTCTGTCCTGGCCATATAATTGGCGCTTAGTCGATAATTGGAGATTAAGGGGGGCAGTTTGTTAATTTCAAGAAAGAGAAGGTGAAATTTGTGCTGAAAACTAAAGGACTGGCTTGATATGGAGGGTTTAAGGCATGTTCAAGTTTGACTGCAGAACCTAATGGTTGATAGCTGAGAACAGCTAACATTAGTGAGGGTTTGTAGCATCCAGGCAGTGTGCTCAGTTCTTTCTGGGTGTTATCCCAGCTCGGCCCATACCTCATTCTCCTGTTCTGTAGAGCTGGGGCTCGGAACAGTCCTACTTCCTGGTGTTGGCAGGAGGGTTGCATGGATTAATGTGGTAGAGGGCTTGATGCTTAGAAAGTGCTCAGTAAATAATCATGGCGGCTGTGGTTGTGGGTTTGTTATGTCCAGAACCTTGATGATGAGCCGGCACATGGCAGCTCTGATCATTTAGTTGACCTTGAACCCAGCTCCTTGTCTCATTCTTCGGCGTTCTCTTCCTGAGTCCCCACGTGCAGGACGTCCTTGAATCTCATTTATCCTTGAGCTTTATTATTTGTCTTGTTCATTTTTTGTTTGTGTCTTCGCCCAATACCCCCTTAGACGGTTCTCTACACCTCTTAAGTTGACTGAGGGCAGTGGTTTCCTAGCTGGTCTCTACTTCCAGAGTTTTTTCTCTTTTATAATCCCCAAGGCTGCTAGAACACTCTTTCTAAAACACAGAGTTGTTTTCTTTAATAATCTCCTGATTAAAATTTGGCCCTGGAGCTTCATTCCGGGTCAGGTCCAAATGCCTTAGTTCATCATGGCCCAGAGGGTCCTGCCTGACCACGGGCCTGCTCTCCTCTCCTTGTGCATAGCAGCCGTGGGTCACGCCAGTTTGTGCCCCTGGGCTTTTCTGTCCTGCCTGGCAAAGTCTTCTTCCTTCCTGTTCCAGGAAGTTTTCTGGGAAACGTCCAAGTCTCTGCAGAAGGCATGGTCCCCCCGTCCCTCCAGCTCCTGCTGTGCCCAGGAGAAGCTCTTGCTGCGCTGGGCATGCCTGCGGCAGCTTTGGGTCTCCGTTCCTGGGTCACCAGCACCCGGCACTGTGCTAACACTCAGGCTCTTCTCTGCAAATGCCAAAGGCTGGCTGAGGACAGAAGAGCACGTCTCAGAAAGTCTCTCAGTACTGGTAGTAACCAGAAATTGACATTTCAAAATAAGCTGTCTTTTTAGACTAGCAGTCTGGAAATAGGGGCCAAAACCTGAGATTTTATTGAACTTTGGGGCATCAGTTGACCCCATACTTGTAAATGCTAAGTCTAGTACTGGAATGTTTATAGTACCTTTATTCATAATCATCTCAAACTGGAAATAACCTTTCAACCCAAAGAGTATCAGGAAGTGAATGGATGAACAAGCCATGGAACTCCGTAATACAGCACTGCCTTAGAAGAGAGAGCTACCGACACGTGCAACAGCTGGGCGCATGCTGAGGGAAGGAGCAGGAGAAACTGCAGTCCTCGATGATATCCTGAGCTTGAAGAGAAATTGATTAATTTGTGGTCATCACAGTGTGAGTGGTGATTGCCTGGAGGAAGAGGAGGGGCTGACACAGAAGAGGCAGGTGGGAGCTTTGGGGGACAATGAGCACGCCCTGCTTATTGATCCGGGTGGTGATTACATGCACACATACATTTGTAGAAATTCATCAAGCAATATTCTTAAGATTAGTGCATATTATTGTGCAAATCATATCTGGTAAAAGTTTTGTTTTTAAAGGAAAAAAAAATATAGAATGTTCTCATAATACCCTAGTGGTCCAGTGGTTTAGAATCCACCTTCCAATGCAGGGGACATGGGTTTGATCCCTAGTTGGGAGCCTACCTGCCACGCAAGCTCAGCTTCCATGCTGCAACTATTCAGCCCGTGCGCTGCAACTCAAGAGAAGCCCAGGAGCCACAAGGAGGAGCCACACACTGCAACAGAGCCTGCTTGCCTTGGCGGAGACCAGGGCGGCCAGGTGAGCAAGTGTCAGAGGTCACCGTGAAGGTTAAAGACACACACCCTGTCAGCAGCATGA